CTCTATCCAACCCTTCTCTACCCGAAATCACCTTCACAATCGCTCTCGGCTTATCTTTTTTCACCCGTCTGCACGCCTACGCTTATCCCATCTGCATCATCCGCGCCCTGCTCAATACATATCTCGCTAATTATTTCACCTCACGTCAACGAACAGCTTATCCATACGTCACGTCACCCTACAACCTCTATCATCATCCGCTCAGTATCTCTGCCTACATATATCCACCATCATTTTAGGTTAACTTCTATCCACGCATCCGCATTCAATCACGCCATTACCTGCATCAATCATACGTCTATTACACCAATCATACGTCTGTTACACCACACTCAGTGCATATCGTCATCCCGCTGTCATCCCGCCACGTCTCATCCGTTCAATCCCGTTTCTCGTTCCGGATTCAGGGTCCTCACCCGAATACGCCACTCACATAACATCACTACTGAGCTGCCGCAGGTGGTAGTTAATTTCGAATTTCGGGCGTCGGCCTGCTTTCACCAGCCTTGCGCTGACTCGTGCGACCGTGCAGGGCCCGCCGGTTCGCAGAGGAGATCACTCCTCCCTCATTCGCCTTGAACTCACACACACACTGGGAGTCGTCACCACCAGGTCCTCCCGCACATCCTCACACATACCCATACTAACACAACATAGGCTATTATTGGTCCCATTGTTAATGGTATAATTAGTTTAACTGTTTTTTCTTCAATTGTATTAATTCTGATTCGTTTTTTAATAAATCTGGGTTTTTTATGCCATAGGCTTTTTCCCATTAATTAGTTGTTCTTAATTGTGTTAACCTTCTTCTCCCTTTAATTCTATTTAATTTTTAATCACTATTTATTTTTTTTGTATTATTTTTTTTTTAATTTAATTTAAACCAACCCTCTATACAGTACAACCCCCCCCTGTATCTATATCTCATTCCTTTAAATTCGAACCAGGCAATCCATGTGGGATCGGCTGTGTTCACACGCAACAGTAGCAGACGTACTTGTTCACGACACATATATACCATATACCTATATATTACATCGCTATACTACACCAACACAGGTGGTCTGGTCTGGTGGTGTACCCTCGTATGCACTAGACTGGTCAAAACAATAATTAATTTTTTGTACGAAGTTAAACTACACACATAAATATCAGTTTTCCCACTTCATACGTTATTAAAAACATCATAATGATTTTCAGACACATTTGTTTATTGAAAAACAAAACTTTATTTTTTGTTTGTCTTTGACCTCAGCAGTAGTCGTAGGAGCCCCCTTAACCAATAGAAAGCAATATCAAGAGAGACAGTGTATCAACTCGTTGATAACTTAATTGTACAATATAAATAAAAAACTCTAAACTTGGTCTTGAAGCTTTAGTTAAACTATTGAATCCTTGTACAAACATGTGTTAACTAAAAAGAAAAGATATGACTCGCTTCTGATATTCTTATTATAGAAATTAGAAATATCAGTTCAATACATAGTAAAACAATGTAAGAATTTAAAAGTTGTGTTTTTAAACTATTTTATTATTTAGAGAACTTTAAATGTTTCTAAAAATTTAATAATACTGTAACATGCGCACATGCAACTCTGTACACAATCACATTTATACTTCACAAAAAGTTCATTAAACATTGTAATCGTAGCAGAGAATAGTATTTCCAACTTCAATCAGTGTCTATCGTGCAGGATTGTACATGTGTTTTACAACTTATTTCAAGCTTGTTGTAACTATAAAATTTCAATTCATGTTGTTTTTCGTTGCCCAAGAAACGGCCTCGTATGTGTCCAAACATGGCAACGCTACCGTTAAATATTAGAATGCATACACACCCACAAATTACTTGTGACTTTTAATTTCCAATATAAACCCAAAACTACGTTTGATCAATAAAGTGATGTACTAACCAACGGGGTAGTGCCTGATTCAAAGGACAGATTATAGGGAAAATAAGGGTGAAACAAAAACACCTGCAGGACACGTACCTCGCACGTACCGATAATCGTAAATATATTATAAGCAGAGCNTAAAATATTAGGAGAGGGCAGAAATATTAAAAACTTGTTGGTATAGAGGAAAAAAAGTGCTTGGTCGAGCTTTCGTTAACCAAAAAAGGGTAGGGGAAAAAAAGCTCGTCAGTCCAAGTAGATTGGCTGTCGAGTTTGAAGAGTAGAAGAAAAAGTAGTTTGTATTATTGCTACGAGTGAATACGTGTCCTCACAAAACATTGTAATTGGTAGGAGCAACAGGGTTCTTTTCGTGTTTGATTAGTTTGGTGTTATGGTGGTGGTGGTAGTCACGATTACGGGGATATCTAAATATATTATTTACTTTGTACTGTGGTATTGATATTAAAAACCTGTGACATAAACTATGGCTTATTTCATGAAATATTTTTCGTGGTACGCAAAGAATATTACAGAAGTTTAAGTAAGCATCGAAAAATACTATAATTTTTTTTTTTCAATTTCATTCAAAAAAATCCTGAATAACACACATGTTCTTGTGTGATAAAATTGGTTCAATGTCGATTCTATAGTTATTTCTGATTACAAAAGAATCCTTTAAATGAAGATATTTGCTAAATGATATTTTTCAATGTAACTTTTCAAATGTTGATGACATTTTAGAAAAAATTTAAAANAAGACGCGTCAAAATTAAAAACTGTAATATTAGTAACACAAGTGCCTATCACCC